CCCGCCACTGCCGCCCGCGCCCCCGCCGGCCTTGAGCAGGTCCGAGCGAGACTGGCAGTGCGCCTCCCGGCTGCGCTCGATGTAGATGTTGACCGCCAGCACGCCGATCACCTCGGCCAGGATGAAGGACAGCCCGCCGAAGTAGAAGGACCAGCCATACGAGTAGTGGTTCTTCTTCTCCTCGTCCCGCTTCGGACCCGGCTCGCCCGCGTTCGCAGAGATATAGACGATCACGCCGATGATGTTGCTCAGGCCTGAGGTGAAGATGGACAGACGGGAGCCTCGAGGCCACCCCAGGCCCGCCAGCCCCCTGCAGGCCCCGCCCTCCCCTGCAGGCCCCGCCCTCCCCTGCAGGCCCCGCCCTCCCCTGCAGGCCCCGCCCTCCCCCTGCAGGCCCCTCCCAAGTGGGATTAAACAACCCCACCCCAGCTGGCCCAGGCCCCGCCCCATGTGGTCTAAACTCCTCCCCAGCTAGTCCAGGCTCCGCCCCACGTGGGCTAAACTGCGCCCTAGTTGGTCCAGGCCTCGACCCACGTGGACTAAACTCCACTCCAGCTGGTCTAGACCGAGCCCCTAGCTAGTCCAGGTCCCACCACGTCTGATCTAAAGTTGCCCCCAACCAATCTAAACTCTACCTCAGACAGTCCAAGCCCCGTCCCCGGATGGTCTGAGTTCCACCCCAGCTGGTCCAAGCCCCACTCCAAATGCTGCTGACCCTGCCCTTGGACGGTCCACACCCACCAACAGCTAGCGTAAGCTCTTCTCCAGTTGTCCCAGACCCCACCTTCAGTTGGTCTGAAACCCACCTCTAACAGTCTAAGGTCTGCCCCAATCAGTCTTCACTTCCACCTTGTTGTCAGGTGCTGTCGAATAGATTCCCACTCATAGCGACCCTACACGCAGCAGTGCTTCGTTCTTCATCTTCACAGTTGTTAGTTGCAATGTTTGAACTCACTGTTGCTGCCACTGTGTCAATCCATCTCGTTGAGGGTCTTCCTCTTTTCCAATGACCCATTATCCATGGATTATATCCTTCTCCAGGGACTGGTCCCTCCTGATAACATGCCCTAAGTACGAGAGAGTTTCATCAGCCTTGCTTCTACGGGAACATACTTCTTCCAAGGCAGATTTGTTTGTTCTTCTGGAAATCCATGCAGAGTATGTTCAATATTCTTTTCTAACACTGCTATCCAAATGCATTAATTCTACTGTTTTCTTATTCATTGTCCAACTTTCACATTCATATGAGGTGACTGAAATGCCATGGCTTGGGTCAGACACACCGTAGTCCTCAGGTTGACAGCTTTGCTCTTGAATGCTTTCAAGAAGTAGACCAAGTTTGCCCCCTCTGATTTCTTGCCTACTTGCTTCCATGAGCCTTGATTGTGGATCTAAGCAAGTTTTAAGTTTTTGACAACTTCAATCTTTTCTCCATTTATCATGATGTTATTTATTGGTCTAGTGGTAAGGAATTTTGTTTTCTTTACATTGAGGTTCCATTCATACTAAAAGTTGTAGTCTTTGATTTTCTTCAGTAAGTATTTTAAGTCCTCTTCATTTTCAACAAGCAACATTATGTCATCTGCATATTGCAGGCTAGGTAACTGTCTTCCAAATGTTGGCAGAGATACGTGAGAGCCTCCAGTGCTGCATCAGTTTGTTGAAAGATATCAATTTGTATTCCATCAATTGCTGGAGCCCTGTTTTTCTCCTGTGCCTTCAGTGTAACTTGGACTTCCTTCAGTCCCATCAGCTCTTGATCATATTTTACCTCTTGAAATGGCTGAGCACCGATTACTACTTGTTGGTCTAAACTTCTCCCTATATGGTGTAACTTTTACTCTGGCTTGGGTGAACCAGACCCTGCCTCAGGTGAATCAGACCCTGGCAGGCTCAAGCCTTACCCCAGATGATCTTAACTCCACCTCATTTGAAGGACTCTTCAGAACCCACCTTCTACTCTTTTAAACTGTTACTGGTGATGTGCCGTGGAGTCGGTTCCGACTCATAGCGACCCTGAGTAGGGTTTCCAAGGCTGTAAATTTTTACGGGAACAGAAAGCCTCATCTTTCTCCTGTGGAACCACTGATAGCTTCGAACTGCTGACCTTGAAGTTAGCAGCCTGACTCATAACCACTACACTACCAGAGCTCCTTTTTAGAACTGTTAGTGATATAATAATCCCTGTCTCTCTCTCTGAATTCCACCCTGACTGACTGAAACCCTTCCTTCATGATATGATCTCAGCTTGGGCATTTATCCCAATCTCTCCCTCTGGTCTTAAATTGACTCTCATTTTTGCAGGCCCACCCCCACCCTCTTCTGCTCTAGACCACACCTCCACTTTACCAAACCTCTCACCTTTGAAGATCTACTTCAGGCTCGTCTTTGCTCTGAGTTTAACCAGCCTTTCAGATCACCCAAGATCTACCCCCAAGCTCACCCCCCCCCCCATTTGGCCCTTT